TCGATTTTATTTTTTAAAAACTAAAGCGAAAGTTAGCCTTCAGGGGAAGGAAAGTGAGAGCTCTGGAATGGGAGCCAGTATCCTCCTAGCTTAGCTACAAATTTAGGGATTAAACCTAAGATTATCCAATTATTTTCTATAATACTGAATCAGAGTAGAGAATTAAAATTGCTCATATTTGACAAAATACAAATTTAAAACCATTTATCTCATCTCATTTCACCAAAAAGCTCATTGTAGTGGGAAAGATGCGTTTTCATATTAGAAAACTTTATCACATAAACATAGTTTAGTAGTTACTATTTTTAAACTCTGCATTTAAGTTTTGCTAGTAGTTAATAATTTAATTTTATTAGCATCTTACACATTCAAAATTAGTGACAGTAATTTCGTTTGATTTCTGTGAATTTCCTAATTAATTTATCATTTCAAATTTAAACATTCATCGCGAGATCAATATTTGAGACGTAAATAGAAAGTCTTATATTACTTGATAATGATACATATACTTGCATATAAGCCCAACCTTAAGTGTCAATTTTATAAATTTTACACAACTATATTCAGTCGGAATCATATCACCTTCCGAAATAGATGATGAGAGTAAAGTCCTCATTGCTCTATTTTTTCATCTAACTTAGAGAAGGTGCCATAGATTCAGAACATAATAGATCTGATAGCTTAGTCTATTTTGAAAGACATTGAAATTGAAGAACGAAATGTTAACAAAAACAATGTTTTTTTTTCAGATTCAGATTATGAAAGTCATGAAGAGTATGAAGCCAGTACTAACCAAAAGTCTCAATATATCTCAATTAATCTAAAACATGTTAGAGGTAGACCAATATATGAATTAATAAGTGAATTGGAAGACAAAATCAAGAAACCCAGAAGAGAAGAGAAAGAAATCACATCAAGAAATATTTTACCATCATGGCATCAAAACTAGGCTATCTGTAAGGGAACATCAAGATGATAATAATTCTTAGAATGTTATTGTTGAGGAATGTACCACACCAAATAGAGCTCAACATGTGCTTAATCAGTTAAGATAGAATAAAAAAAAATAGAAATATTAAAAAAGATGAAAAAAATATTGTTTTTAGCCCCTTAATTCCAAAATCAAAATATTGCATAGATGCACACAAAAGAGGAGAAACATGAAGCTGTACATTTAGTTGAAAGCCCAAAAATGATGACAGTTGAGGATGATGCCTCCAAGAAATGGGTAGAATTACCACTCAATCTACGGGAAGACCTAAAGTCATCAATTGAATAAGAAGTAAATGATGCTTTACCTTAGGCTCAAGGTATTTCTTCTATACTCATGAGAAGATTTTATTATAAGGAATTTGATGTTGTACAATATATGAAAGGTTTTGTTTTATTAACCTTTAAGGTGTTCGATGGAACCAACAATTCAAGTGTACACTTGACTCACTTTCGTACAAGTTGTTGTAATGTAGGGGGAAGTGATGCCTTGCTCTTCCATTTTTTTGTCAATAGCTTTTATGGGTAGCGTTCGATTGGCACAAAAGTACCTAATGGATCTGTCAAGAATTTCTTTGAGCTTGAATGATTATTTATGGTTTGCTAGAGCTCAATTGCATATCATGTTGATGATTTAGTGATTAAAAAACAAAAATTTGATGAAACTTTTGGTTGATTACATCTGAAGGTGAAGAATTTTAAGCCTAAAGTGTGAGCTTCGGTTCAAGAACAACATGTTATAGAAATGCTCCTAAAGAACATCTGTAGGTCAAAAACTTTATATCTAAAGGGGTTCATTATTAAGACTTTTGAAAAAGTACTCAGCAAAGGAACCAACCTACAAGAAGAAACAAAGCAACTATTATTGTTGAGTCAGGATGCTAAGCGAAAATCTCATAAAGCTTACCAGAAAAAGTATGGTAATTTTTTTTTCATTGGTCCGTTGACCTCATTTTTTATGAGGTCTAGTCTTCCTCTTAGTACTTAGGATCTAGCCATATGACATTTTCTTTGATTATCCAAGAGGACATGTGACGAGACCCACCCCTTTCAGAATTTCAAACCAATTCTTAACTCTTCTTGGAGCGCCACATGGGTGGTTATAAACTTCCAACACTTGGAAGGTTAGGACTAGCAAGTGAAGACTCAAGGATGAGTTCCCATAGAATTATGAGGCTTTAGGGATACCCTGTTGACTCTTGGTGGCTTGGGCATTCCACTCCACACACACACCTCACAACTTCCCTCCTTTCAAGTTCACAATATTGCTTGACCCTTTTGGAACCTCACATGGAAGTTCATAAACCTCCAGCCCTTAAAAAGTTGAGACTAACATGTGGAGGCTCCAAAATAAGTGCTTGGGGGAATATGAGGCATTGGGGAGACTCTTTATGCTTTGGACATTTACCTTGAACTACAACACCGCCTCACCACTCCAAACTATACAAGAATCCACCATCTTCAATCCAAAATCAAGCCAAGACCTCAAATCCAATTCTCATGGACCCCGAGTTCCAATTCACACCACTTTACCTTTAATCCTATACAAAATTCTAAATCAAATTCAGCATCCCACCAAATTCCAAGCCTCATGGCCAAATTTTACCAATCCACATCAAATTCTCTTCGAATACACACAACATTCTAAATCCAAATCCAACCCAATTTCATTAAATCTCAAGTTCAAATTGAACTTTGCCAATTTGACCATGCCCGAGGGTTCACCAGGTCACCAATTGTGCATTTCCATGTGTACATGAATTAAATTGGGGTGATAAACAAGTTTAGGTCCATTTGGTTTGATTTGGGCTAAGGTTAGTGACCCGACCCACAATTATGCAGATTTTTATGTTCCAAAAGTTTGCCAAAACTTGGCATGAATTATATTTAGAAGTTAGTGTGAACAAATAAATTGATTTAGAAAGTAAGAGATGAGCTTTCACACAAGGGGTACTACACAAGTATATGTATCGTTTCAAGTAATATAGAGTTTTTCTTAAAAACCCCAATATTGATCCCTAGGAAAGCAGTATTTTCTTATAATGACTTAGTAAAGTTTCTATTACAAACTGCAAACACAACTTAAAGAAGATGAATGTCAAAATTTTTAGAAAGACAAAAACTAAATTTATGCAGGATTTGATTCTAAGCAGAAAGTAAATGCAAATTAATAATATATAAAAGAATGTTTTAAATGCTATAAAAAGATTGTTCCTTTTGCAAAGAGATGATAATCAGTATAAAATTTGAATGTTTAAAAATCAAATATGGTTTTACGACAAATAAGAGAATAATTATTCTTTACCCCTTCCCGCTGCTTGAAAAGAACGCCGACTAGCCTAAAGTTTGTTCCAGTTAGTGTAGTAGTACTGGGTAGATTCTTATATCTCACTTCTAGATTACCCACCGTTCCCTATCTATAGGACCTACTAGGGACCCTTAGATCCAAACTCTAAACCGAAATAATAAAAATCTAGTCTGCCACCCTAGAAACATAACTTCAATGACCAATAAAAATATCTTCCAATATATTTGTGCTAACCAGTGAACAAAATACCACACTCCCATCCTAAAGGTCAACGTGGCATTCACAAGTTGAGTAAAATCATAGCCCTCCCGAGTCAATATGTTTTGCAACAGATGTTAACATCACAAGTGACCAAATTGCAAAGTCAATGAAGTTCAGGGGAAAGTGCCATCACAATTTTTAAAAATAAATATAAGTCTTCAAACCATTCGTATATTACATATGATCATTTCTCATAGTAAGAAGAAAGCAAAGAAACTACTTATAATTCATGGAGATAAACAAAAACACATGAATTTATATTGATAATCAAATTCAAAAAAGACAGTAAAACTCAAATAAAAATACAAATGACTTATCTTAGCTTCTCCCTTAACAAACTATGAAGTCTCTTTACTGTACTTGACTCCACAAGACTCGCACATTACTCACACAACACAAGAACTCCACACACACTCACTATGGTGGTCTCACTCACAAGGCTCACACAAAAGTAAATAACAAATAATAATAATAATAAAGAAATCCTAGTAGGGATCTTGGAAACTAGCATGCTCCAAGAAATCCAAACATTGAAACTTATCAAGTATTTACTTTCTTGAGAAAGGGAAGAAAGAGGATCCCTTGAAATAACCATAGAATTGCCCTCGCCGGGTTAGAGCGTTGCAGATCCTCTAGTCGCGACTCCATCACTAGGATGTAGGGCATGAGAGGAGGAGAAGGGTGGCGATGATTTCAAACGAAATCTCCTATAAAATCAGAAAAAACCCTAAGGTTGCAATAGCTTTATTTCTACTTTTGAATTCTTCACCTTATTTTCGACTAAAACGCACAATCAACTTTTTCTTAATAAATCAATCAGTAATATTTTAGCATGATCATAAGTATGATTTGTAGATTTATATTTATACATTATAAATGCGTGTATAACAATAAGAAGTAAAAAATAAAAGTGTAGTAAATTATGAATTATTGATGGCTTCATTATTGTGTGAAAAACTTTAATTATTCTAGATTTAAAAAAGAATATAAATATATAAAATTTTTACAGTAATGTGATTATTGCGCAAGTAATAATTTGTGAGAAGTTCTTAAAAATTCCTCCCCATTAGCTTTTCAATATCACATGTCACACGTGTAAATATTTCATCTTTATCCCCACCGACCAGCCACCTAACAAATAAACTATGGACGGAAGAAATCACGTTTCCCGTTTCAAATGTACCTCCTTACCACCGTAAACCCAACTAAACCGCTTACCTGCCGTACACGTCCCGATCTTTCTCTCAAACACCACAGTGTCTCCGGATAACCAATAAAGCCAACGCGTACAACACATTACCCCGATGCTTTTGTGATCCCCTTGTTAAAGCAATCGAACGGCTGAAAGAAGGTCGGTTTGTCAACAAAACGCCAAGGGTACTACCTGATCCTCTAATTTCTGCCATTGGGGAAGGAGACGGGAGGGTGTTCGTAGTCCCAGCATCTACGCCACTCATTTTATTTGATCCGGAACCCTAGCCCTAATTTTCCATCGCCTGCAATATCTTTGTACCTCGATGGCATCCGGTGGGTCCGCGACGCGATCGGCTTCGGTGAGATCTTTTGATTTTGGCTCTGACGACGTATTGTGTGCTTACGACGAGTACACGCCGCAGATGGATCAGTCGTTCAATGGGAAGCGGTCGGATTCTTTGGCGAAGGTGATCAAACTCATCCATCTAACATTTTCTTCTGTTCAAATATGAAAGGGATTTATGTAAATACTTCGATTACGAAATTGTTATATGGTCGGGGAATGTTGTCCTATGCTTCAAATCATGATTGGGGGGGGGTTGGTATGCTTGGGTTGATTGTAGGATTGGATTGATGGCATGGCTTGTAAACTACTCCATGGAAAGGTGCAGAAACATGAGACTAGAGGATGCTTTCGGGGGTGGAATAGCTTATTGAATGATGGGCTATGACGTGGAGAGGGTTGGGGCTAACCAGGTTTTCGGGAGTCCATGGAGGCCGAGAGGTGGATGGTTAAAATTCGCCATAGTCTTAAAGCATCATTCTTTAGAGAGTCTGCTATCATTTTTTAAAAGGTGATATTTTTTTTTACTTGTTAGTCGGAGAAGACGAAAGAAATCTTATCTATTGGAGACCATTTTTAGCTGATAATAATTGAATTTTTTTAGTTAGCATTGGCATTCAAGCATCTTTTTTTAATTAAAGTATCGCTTTGGGTAATTTATAGTGTTTACTTTATTTCCCTCGGTCTTCATTAAATACTCTGCGTTGGGACAAAAAAAAATATTTTTTCCTTCTGCGTTTAATTACCTCCTACAGTCCTACATCTCATTATGACTGTTTGGCGGAGCACTTAAAATGCCACACCTTCTTCAGAATTAGCGGAAGCAAGGCTGTAAACAAGGTCTTTTATAGAGAGAATTTATTACTGTATTTCGACAATTTTCCAATTTGATCTTCTAAGAGAATTTTATTTTTCGTTGTTTTCATCTGTGACATGATTACCCTGGTCTCCTTGCCACAGCATCATTTTGCTCATTTTTATATTTTATATTGTTAAGCAGGACCTTCATGAGAGCAGAGTGGGGAGGCCTTTGACTAATCTTTATGGCCAACCAGAGGAAATATCAAGAGAAGACGTGATATCTGCTGTTGAGAAGTGCATGAAAAAATATGCTGACAACCTTACTAGGAATCTTGAAGGAATCAGTGGAAGACTAACTCAGTTGGAGTTGTATTGCTTCAAGCTTGAACGATCGATAGGTGAATTTCGTGCTGACATGGTTCGTGAACAGAGTGAAGCAGATTTGAAGCTTAAATCTCTTGAGAAACATATTTATGAAGTAAGTTTATGCATATTTATCTGTTCAAACATTCCATGCATCTTTCCTTACCTCTTCAAATCAGTGGATACACTTCACAACCAATTGAATTCTTTCTTTATTAGGTGCTTATTCAACAGGTCTATTGCAAATCACATAATTTTATTATAATAGGCACATTTACATATATAGCACACAGTTCTTATGTATTTACATATCTCACATTTAAACTTTCACGTACACACAAAAAGCACTCAAATTTTTAAATGACATAATAAATAGCATTATCACGAGATATCTCACATTTAAACTTTCACGTACACACAAAAAACACTCAAATTTTTAAATGATATAATAAATAGCATTATCACGAGTTTTTAAAAGTGAAATACACCTTTTCATGCATAGGTTTAAAGCACCAAAGTGCTATGTATGTAAATATAAAAGTTTAGGAGTGTGATATCTAAATACATAAGAATTGTATGCTACTTATGTAAATTTAACTTTATAATATAGCTTCAGAGGTACAACCTGGTTAATCTATTAAAGATGACAGAAAAATTCACAACATGCTGTTTTGTTGACATGCAGATTTGCAAATTTTTTTCTTTTTGTGCTTTCTATTTGTTCCATGAAGTGTGTTCATTTACGTTATTGTGTCTTTCTTGTCAGTTTTATTAGTGTTTGTTCTGTAATTTTTGAATTGTTTACCTTTCTTGCTCAAGGCATTGCATTGTACCAATCATCTGTTTTTGTAAATATTCTTAACTTAATATCCTAGGGATGCATTTTAACATATTTTTTGAAGCGCTCATGCAATAGTATGATGCAACTGATAAATTTTAATTTGTCGTAGTAAAGGACTAAAGGCAATTGGTATGCTTTATATCTCATATCTCTAATTTCTTATATCTGCAGTAAGATGTTATATTTAACTATTAATGAGGAAAGTTTTCATTTACATTACTATTAAACTACCATCATCTTCAGACGCAATTAAAATTATTCCCTTGTTTCAAGTATGATATATATCTCTACTTTTTTATTTTGCATTAAGATAACATATCTAACCATGTAATGGGGACAATTTCATTTACACACTACAAATAACTTTCATCTTTAAGCACAAAATTAGCATTAGTTTGCTTTGGATCACCTTTTTTTTCGGATTCACAAAAGTGCTTGAAAAAGATATTCAACATAGGTGGGTGAGTTATTTTGATAACTTTTTAATGAAGTTTATGAAAATATGATCTCAACCTTCGTGATTTTAATATCATAATGATAATAATGTACTTTATTTTTACCGTCGTATTAGTAAAAACAAAATTGATGAGGTTTTAAAGAAAACCAAGGGTGAAAAATCAGTAGATCCTAATGATATCCCAATTAAAGTGTGAAAATATTTAAAATTTATAAAAGTTTCTTAGTTTACTAAACTTTTTAATATTATTTTAAAAACTAAAAGATGCCTGAGGAGTGGAGGAAGAGTACTTTGGTCATTATTTTTAAGAATAAAGAGGATGCACATGATTGTGCAAATTATGTAGGAATTAAGTTGATGTGTCATACTTTAAAATTATGGGAGAGGGTAATTGAACATAGGATAAGACGTATTACAAAGATTTCTCATAATCAATTTGGATTTATGTCGGGTAGGTCTACTATGGAAACTATACATTTATTGAGAGTTTTGTGGAGAAGTTCAGAGATAATAAAGAGAATCTACATTTGATTTTTTTTTATTTAGAAAAAAGCTTACGATAAGATTTCAAGGTGTTGATATGCCTTGTAAAGAAAGGTGTTGATATGGCTTATATTCAAGTCATTAAATATATGTATATTAGAGTTGTTACATGTGTTCAAACTGAAGGAGGATTGACCAAATATATTCCTATTTTTGTTGGATTACATTAGGGATCGGCTTTAAGCCCATATCTTTTTACGTTAGTTATGGATGGTCTTACTGGACATTTACAGGAGGGTGTACCTTGGTGTATGCTTTTTGCTGATGATATCCTACTCGTGGATAAGATGAGAGCAAAACCCAAGAAAAACTTGAATTATGGAGGCCTACATTGGATTCTAAAGGCCTTCATTTGAGTAGAGCTAAAACTGATTACATGGAATGTAATTTTAGTAGAATTAGCTCTAGTGAAAGAAATGTAACTTTGGGTGATTAAATTATTAAAAGGTGTGAACGATTTAGATATCCCGTATCTATTGTTCGGAGCGATGGTGATATAGATGGGGATGTTAATATTAGAATTCAAGTTAGTTTGTTGAAGTGGAGGAATGCTTCAGGCCTTTTGTGTGAGAGAAAAGTACCACTTAGTTTTATACGGACTAGGGCTCCCTCAAGAATATATTAAAAAAAAAAGACTTGTTTTAAAGAACGAAGGCAAAATATTGTACTAGTGGCGATTGTGGACATTTAGTATCAATATGAAACTGGTGACTTCGATGACATGCAATTACGAGAGAAAGTCTGCAACCCTTGCATTGGGCAAACTTATTTTACTAATGAGTAGCTATCTTTTAAATTGATTATTATGTTACTGTGGATGATGTGAGGAATAATATACTTGTGAATATGATAAATTTATGATGTTCAAATTTTGCTTCTTGTGCGTTGAAGCACACGAATCTAGAAGTTAAATATCTTATTGACTATAGTTTCTCATATGACCTGAGGTAAACGATGGAAAAACTCTTACTCCCTGGAGATTGATAGCATACTTGGCGGTCTAACAGTTTTAAAGTGTGCTCAACTATTAAAATGCAGAAGATGCAATTTTTTTGCTGGTATTGAGTGCATGCGCTGTTGGAAATGGGAGGAATATTGGTGAATATATTTTCTCCATGGGTGGCTTATAAACGTTGCGATGCTGGCTTGGGTGCAATAGTTAAAATATGCATATGCTATAACTGGGATTGAGTCCAACTGAATAAATTTAACAGTCTTGCTGGTCACGGTTTTGATGATTCAGTTTTCATCATAATGCTCCAATTTGAGAAATGTGTGAAGTTAACAAGTGGTAATGCTTATAGTATAGCATATATTTGTTGATTTTTGCTTTTATGATACGGATACCCAGTCTTTCAGCTATCTTTTTTCATTTATATTGAGCAAATGCATACAAATTGGATTGTGTAATGTTTTTTAGAGTATTTTGTCAGCTAACTCTCTCTCTCTACACATGCACATCCATCCATAAAGAAAGCTACACCCGAGGATCATTTTTCTAAAACAATTTGGACAAGTTCCTATATGCGTAATATCTAAATCTTGAATTTTCTGTCTGTAATTCAGGTCCACAGATCTGTACAAATAATTAGGGACAAACAAGAACTTTCTGAGACTCAGATGGAGCTAGCCGAACTCCAGCTTCCACAGAAAAAACCAACTAATTCAACCCACTCCCAAAAAAACAACGAGTTCCCCACCACAGCTGCTCCTGAAATCAAAGCTCATAAGGACGAAAATGATTCATCAAACCTGCAATTGGCTCTCACTCATCCACACCAAACATCTCCCACTCCCGATCAAAACCAGGCATGCAAGGTGCCACCCATGCAGCATCCTGCCCCTGCATCTCTTACTGTTCCTCCACATGATCATTATGTTCTGAATCAACCAAACTCATATTACACCTCCCACCAACCTCAGAGCCAGAACTTTCAACCACCACCTTTTACTCAATACCGGCCACAGTGGTCGCACCCAATCCAACCTCTTCAATCTTCTTCACAACCTCAAGCTCCCAGCCCTCAAAATCCATCTCTCTATGCCCGCTATCTTCCCAATCAACCTACCAACACAATTCAAACTGAAACATACCAAGGCAGCAGCATGGCTCCCCCAGCCCCATACATCACAGTCCCTCAAACCAGCAGCTATGGAACTTCGGGTGGCACCATTCCTCATGTTCCATCTCAGCACAACTTGCAGCAAAATCCACAAATTTCCTTCAGGCCTCCGCTGCCGCAATCAAACATGCCAAGTTATAATGCTGTTTATGTCATTGATGGAAGCAGAGCTCCTCATCCTCACTATCCACCAAGTAACAATCTCTCGGCTCCACAAATCCTTAATAATCATCCTTATGGAGAGATGATTGAGAAGGCTGTTAGTATGGGTTATCCGAGGGATCAAGTCATTGGGATAGTGCAGGCCATGGGAGAGAGCGGTCAGCCTCTTGATCTCAACGCTCTGCTTGATAGGCTGAATGCCATCGCGAGCGGAGGGATGCGACGTCCTTGGTCGGGCTAGAGAATGGGTCTTTGAAAGGCAACTCGTACACCTCTTCATTAAAACTACATATTTCTGATGATCTTTTTTTGATGATATATGAGGCCATGTAATTCTGTAAATTCTAATAATGTTTCTGCAATGCTTTGTGTGATGTATGTTTGAGAATTCCGCCACAATTTTTACAGTGAGCGGGTAGGATTCTGTATTTTTCAGGAATGATGCTATTATATTTCAGTATTGTTTTTCTTCTTTCATGAGTTTGTGGAGCCAATTTGCTGAAATGTGAGTCTCAGGATGCAACTCCGGTCTGGAGGCCGTTGAAAAATTACTAATTTTCCATGCTGCTTTTTTGTTGCGAGGCGGAATATATTTTCTTGGGCCTTAGCCCTGAGAGCTTTACGTTCTGTTCGGAAGTCCTCAAATGGTCAGGAAAGTATATATATATATATATTTTGGGGCATTTACATTCGTACCACTCAATTTCGATGTATTTACATATATCTAGCGCCAAAACTTTAATTTTATAATTTTATAACAACCAAATCATTCATATCAAATAAAACATACCTCTTCAAATAATGAAACGAACCTTTTCATGTAGGAAATGTGGTATGTATTTAAAAACTGAAGTTAAGGTGTTAGATAGGGATGTAAATGAGTTGAGTTGAGTTGAGCTCGACTCAGGCTCCAACCCGTTGGAGCCTGAGTTGAGTTGAGTTGAGCTTGATTAATCTGCATGATTTCGAGCCGGCTCACGGGTTGACTTGATTATTATGATGAAGGTAAAATATTAACTCAAATTAGTGTTATATTTAAATAATAAATAGAATGAGTAATTATATGATAAATAATAAGAAGTTATTTGATGCAAAATATAAAATATCATTCTGTACATCTTTTCAATAATTTAAAGAAAATAATTTGAATTTTAGTTTGTTTTACGTGTATTTTTTAAACAAAATGGCGTATGAGCTAATAAGTCAAGTTGGGGCTGGCTTGAGCTTGACTTGTTAGCGCATCAAGCTCGATTTATGAGCCACTTATCGAGTTGAGTTCGAGTCTGCTCACGAGTTGGCTTGACTCACTTACACCCCAAGTGTTAGATATATAAATATATATGAAGTGTGATATGTATGTAAATCTTTATTTTCTTTTATTTATATGCCCAGGAATTGATTTGGAGTGGTGAAGAATTCTCTGTTTTTTGGAAAAAAAAATTATTGGTAATTTCTTAGGTGAAATTATTTCCATGGCTTAACATTCTGCAAAGCACATAATACTTGGAAACAACGTCAATGGCAGTCTGGAATGCTCTAGCATGAGAATGTTTAGCTTTACATTTCGTGATGAAAATTCACCAGATACATTAAAATATATCTTAATGTTTAAAAGTTTAGCTTCATTCTAGGCTTCACAATCTTCTCCACTGAAATAGTTGAAGTCTTTAGTCTGTGCTCTTAATCCAGAGTCATCCACCAGGTATATAAAAGTTTAGAGTTGACCCCTAAACAATCAACAGGTGGCTTCGATTGTGTAGCATTTTCTCCAATCTAAGGTTCAAAAGATGTCTCCAATGCACAATTGGTAGAAATCTCACTCATTGAGATATTACCTAACTTGTTCTAAGGGCCTCACTATTTTTTATTATTGGTCTGCCTTCTTATAGGCCACCCATCCCAATAATGCTCTCGCATGAACAAAGTTAACTTTGGAGTTCCTGATAAATCCTTAACTGTTAAAAGCGTCTCAGTATGAGAGTTCAACTTCATTCTACTTGAGAGCTTACACAGCCATTATGCCACATAGTTCATGATATTATCTTCTGCGCCAACCATACAAGTCTTTCCTTCAAGCAAATTAGGGTGTGCGTGTGAGTGGGTTACGACAATAATTAAATATCTTATATAATTTTAAATAGAATTTTTAATTTGTTTCAAAGTTGAATTGATATTTAAAATTTACAAGAAAATTATCTAACTAGTATATCTAACATTTGATTAAAACATGTATAACATATTTGATTACATTATATTTAAATAAAATTAGTTATTAAGAATTAATATTAAAACTTCTTTTAATACTAAATCATTTATAAGATTAAAATAAAATTTGTCATGGCTACCAAATCATGTGTTATAAATTTAAATGCAATTTCTTTAAATGAATATAATCTTTAAGTTAAATAGATACAAGAAGTTAGCAAAATTTATTTAAATTAATGTTTTCAAACGTGTTCACAATTAAAAAAAGCGTATATATAAGTTAGCAGTGGTTTTGAATTGAGGTATTTTTTTTATTCTTATTAAATGAATAATGCAAAAATGATGATTTGATTTAAAATACAATAATGATGTGATATGGTTAATAGTAGAATCGCATCTAACATTAAGAGCTTGTCTTCCTTTAATAACGATTAGATTACTACTTTTAACTTGTAAAAAATCATAGTGTACATTATACATATTCATGTCGTTTGCTTTGACATGTCATATGCTTATGCCCTATGGGTATCATGGGCTATATAATCGTTTAAAATTAAATAAATAATTTAAAAATATTGAATCTTAATTTGTCTGTGAATCACACCACAAGGAATACAACGTAAAAACTGAGTGTGTGTGTGTGTGTGTGAGAGAGAAAATAGTGAGCAATAATGAACATTAACCATGTCAATCGTGTTGACATTTTCTATCTTGTTTGGCTAATTTGGCTATTCCTTGTTCATAAAATTATCTCGTTATTTATAGGAGAG